TCTTGGAAGACAAAGAAACAACATACTGTCTCTCGATCCTCTACTGAAGCAGAATACCGTTCAATGGCCGCTGTCACCGCTGAATTAAAATGGCTTAAAGGTCTTCTCCTTTCCTTGGGTATTCATCATTCGAGCCCTATGATTTTGTTTTGTGATAGTCGATCCGCTCTTCATATCGCTCATAATCCTGTCTTCCATGAGCGCACCAAGCATATCGAGGTCGACTGTCACTATGTTCGTGATGCTCTTCAGGCTGGGCTCCTTGCTGCTAAACATGTTTCTACTGCCGATCAACTGGCTGACATCTTCACTAAGGCTCTTGGCAAAAGACAATTTTTGTACTTACTTAGCAAGTTGGGCATTTTTGATCCGAATGCTCCAACTTGAGGGGGGGTGTTAGATACTAATGGGCTTTAGTATTCTTTGTATAGCTTATTTGGGCCGAAGGGTTCCATTAGTTGTATTACACTTGTATAAATACCTATGTACTTGTTAATAGAAGGCAAGGGGATTAATTAGCCCTAATTAAATATACTCTTTCCAGCATTTAGTCCTATTTGTTAAGGCTGATACAATTTTTTTGAGTATGATATACCCGTATATAAGTTGATTAATTTATATAGGGAGAAGTTAATTCGTATACCGGGTATCTCGAACCTAAATTCCCGTATATAAGAATTCATAAATGTATACGAATTTGGAAGTATGAATGGTATGATTAAATTTGAGTCGAACTAGTCGCCTACTAGTTTTAAGTAACTGTTTACTTTGAGTTATATACCATTAAGGATTCTTCACTCTTTACCATATATACGTACTCCAAAAACAGCAACATTATGTATTTAATTAAGGATCAAGTATTTAACCATCATATAATAAGACCTAATTAAACCTACGGAAATCAATATGGCCAGGAAAAGCCTAAACACATGTGGCGTCGTCGTTCTTCTTCCGATCATCATCCTTATCGCCGTCTTCCTCTCCCTATATTTCACAATCTTGAAACCCCGGCCGCCGCAAATCGTCACACATCCGGCGACTCTCCACAACGTCACGTTCGGGGTCTTCCCGGCTCCGTCCCTAAACGCGACGTTGAACTTCACTCTCACCGTCAAGAACCCCAACTACGGCGACTGCCGGTACGACGGCTCCGTCGCGAAGGTGTACTATCGCGGATCCCCGGCGGCCGAGATTCCGATAGAGCACGGCGCCTTACCGGCGAGAGGAGAGCATGACATCATCGCTTTTGGGAACCTTAGCGGGGATAAGGTGATAGAAAGTCCGGGTTTCTTTGAGGATTACGGCGCCGGCGTTGTGAACTTTACGGCGATTGCGAAGATGCCGGCGAGGGTTAGAGTGTTGAAGATTTTGAAGATTCATGTGACGGTTGTTATCAGTTGTGATTTGTCTGTATTGGTCTTTCAGTCGTTTGATGTTCTGTCCACTTGTACAGCAAAACTCAAATTTTAATACCGACTATTTTTTGTTCAACTCAAGATTCTCAAAATGATTTTACTGTTAGTTAATTGCATTACATTCTTAGATCAGGTCTAATACTCCCTCCGTCCCAGAATTAACTTCGGTTTTGACTGGGCACGGAGATTAAGAAAGTGGGAAATGTGTGGTGGAGAGTTGTGCAGAGGAGAGAGAAATGTGTAAGAATGGTTGTGAACCACAAATCCTTTGCTAAAAAGGAAAGAGGAGATAAATTTGGGACGGACCAAAAAGGAAAGAATGAAGATAATTATGGGACGGAGGGAGTAATAGATTAGACTAAATCAAACTAGTGTAACACCCGAGGCATGCCTCGATAGTGTTACTTTTTGATAGGTATGAAATGATAAATATCAACAGAGGTTTGGAGTTAGTTATGGAATCATGTAATATTGATATAAGTATTACTCTTGTTATAAAAAAGAATATATGTGCATATGATTAATTACTAGGGGTGGGATTTTGGAACCGGGAACCGTAGAACCGATTGAAACCGAACCGTTAATAACATCTAGGAACCGAACCATTAACAATTAATGCATCATTTGTAGGAACCGAACCGAAGCGGGTTATAACGGTTCGGTTCCCGGTACCTATAAAAAATATGTGCATGGAACCGTTAAGGAACCGTTATTAAAAAAATAAAAAATAAAATATTAGTAGTAGTAGTAGTAACAATAATAATAATAATAATATAATAGCAATAATAACCACCACCACCACAACAATAATAAAACAATATAAGATATTTAACTAACAATTCTAATTTAATCAACGGAAAAGAAGTAATAAATATTGTACATGAGGTTGATATAATACATTAAACTCCTTTCTACAAATCAAGTTTTGTTCCATCACATAAATTTTATAAATATAAAATAACCCAAATAACTTGTAGTTGATTGCACATATTTTACTTTACTATTTTCATGATATTTCTAATTATTAGATTTATTATGAATCAATAGAATGTAATAATGTTTTTTTATATCTATCATGCAAACTCAATGCCTTTTTTTTATGTTTTGAAAGACTTGAAGTAAGCGTCCTATTCTTGCTACTATTATGACGAGTAACCTTCATCGCTCCGACACTACAACGATTTTTAATGTTTCATTTATTAAATGAAAATTTAAATCACTTTTGTTCTATTAAGTGTTCAAAGTTCATTAGTTAAGTTTGAGCTTTGATGTTTGAAGTGATTAGAGTTTCAAATAAAATTTTAATACTCGTGTTTTGAATTTTCGACGTGTTTAAAATTATGTGTTAATTCTTAGACGAGAAAAAATTATTCTAGGAACCGGTAAAAGGAAGAACCGAACCGTTTACTACCGGTTCGGTTCCATAACGGTTCTTGATTTTTTATATAGGAACCGAACCGATTTCATTAGTTAAAACTTTTATAACGGTTCCACTCATTTTGAGTGAGAACCGAACCGGTCCCAGCCCTATTAATTACAATTTTGAAAATAAATGAAAATGTTAATATGTGAAGACTGAAGTGAAGTACTATTCACGGCTGATAAATAAAATTAGCCACTTTGAAAGACTATTTTATACACAACATTTAATGTTGTATCTTTCTTCCCCCTCTTAAAAAAATCAACTTATTGCTACTTTTCACTCAAAAGCTGCAACCTATAATGGGTCATGCGTGCATAGCCATTTTTGCCAACTAATTTTTGCTCAAATATTTTTAATATGATGATGATGATATTAGAAGTACAATTTTAAAATTGAATTAATCTATTATAATCTAAAAGCAAAATGTTTTTGGTGTTGATTTTCCCCCTCAAAAACGTCCCTGTCAAGAAATTGTGGTTAAGTTGTTTAAAAAGCCAATTTTCCTTTAATAAAATGGGATGATTTAATCCAATTTGAGAGTTGCATACTTGCATGTGAGAGTCCTGCGGGAAACGAATTGAATATGGCAAGTTGAGGGACTATTCAGATTTTAATTAGATTTCCCTAGCACTTCGGAGCTTTCTCATTGGTCCCTTTTTTAGTATGAGATGAGATAGGTACTGTTGGGATTTTATTTAGATTTCCCACTCATCCTCATGCGACTCCATTGGACAATTTTTGGGTGTGGCACTGTTTGAAAATATCTTGCTCATGTGGGATTTAGTGGATGATGGAGTTGCACTGTTTTATTTTGAAATTTTACCAGTGTTCCCCCCAAGAATTTATCATTTTCCTATTGGTTGAATTTGTGGTTCGTACTGTTTGGTTTCATTAGAAAGACACTGCTCGCAGCTATAAATAGAGCCACAGACGTATTCTAATCCCCACAACGCATCACTGCGAAGAAAACTAGAATAGAAGCAAAAGTTAGCAAATGGTTGGCATGTGATCTATATTCCATGAAATACGGATGATCAAGGCTAGAGCAATACAGGTGTACCGAGAGAACATCTGCAGGCTCATGAAAGTTTTCCGGAGTCATTGGAGATCAAGGTTAGGGTTTTTATGATTCATTTACATAATCTATTACGTATACTTTTCTAAAAAATGATTTATGTTTTACAGTGTTTGGAATTTCAGGGGTTCAAAGTGCATGCACACAATCTGGACCGATTTATCAACAAGTTTATCGGCATCCTCAAAGAGGGGCGAGTAACGCGAGTTTGCAAGTATTCGCGGTGAAAAACTTTATGGTGGAGGAAAACTACATGTTTTTCAAAACTTCAACAAGTGCTTATATGCTTTGTTTTTTTAACAAGAGCGCTGCTTATAGTGAAAAAATATATTCATTGATCACAGAATATTCCCAATGTTGGGTGCTTCACCTTGCTTTTGTATTGCTTCAATTCTATTGAACATTATTCACTACTATGGACGGTAAGGTTTTGCTTACATTTATAGAGCAAATGGAAGCAAAACCATAGAGGTGTAGAAATTAATCAAAGTGCTCAGATTAATATTTCTGCATGGTGGTCTGGATTAATGAATTTTATTAATAAAATTCAATAAAGGTTGGAAAAATTACTGAGGTGTAATTAATTAATTTGTAAATCCTTTGAGTTGTTGAATTGAAATGTAATGATAAATGGTATTCGTGGACTTTTGAGTTGAAAAATGTGCATAATTTTTTTATCCATGTCAACACACATAAAAGGTTTATGCATTATGTGAATAATAAAAATTCAATAGTGGTGTTAAAAATAAATGCAGTGCAGTTAATATTTTTAAATCTTTGAGTTTTTGAAAAATGGGCATGATATTATAGTACATAAACCTTGGGTGTTTATGCATTATGTGAATAAGAATAATTCAACAAATGTAATGATAAACGGTTTTGTGGACTTATTTCATCTGAAAAATGTTCATGAAGATTTTTATACATGTCAACAGACTTGAGGGGTTTGGCATTATGTGAATTATAAAAATTCAGTAGTGGTGTTGAAAATAATAAATTGCAGTGCAGTTAATGAATTTTGAAATCTTTGAGTTTTTGAAAAATGGGCATGATATTGTTGTACATGTAAACCTTAGGTGTTTATGCATTCCTTGAGTAAGAATAATTCAAGAAAATTTGTTTTTAGAATACGAATTAATCTGTAAATCTGTGAAAGGTTTACAGTTTTACCCTGTTTAGTAAATTAAATGCATTCTGTTTATGTATTCTGTGAATAAGTATGGTTAAAGAAAAGTTTGTGTTTGTGCATTGTGTTTAGACTAAATCCGTCAATAAGAATCATTCTGTAAACCTGAAATTGTGTTTTTAAGCACAATTCAGGTAAAGCTATAGAAATACATTCCCAGGGAAGTTGTGTGTATGGAAGCGTACCTGTAGACTGGTCCGGAGGAGCTTTCCGTGCCCTAAATCTACCCTACACTTATTATTACATCATTTACAGACCGAAAAGAAAAAAAAAAAGAACATCCATATGATAGGCATTCTTCAAAACTGAATTTCATAAGCATCCGACGAAACCCTGCATGTCAACGTGTGATACTGAGTTAGAAATCAACAAATTTCAAATCTTAAAGTAAAATCTGAAAATTTGTTTCGGGGGAATCACAAGTGTGCACGAAAAAACCGGTTTTCCATCAGATAAAGTACCATATATCACCCCCGTGATTGGCTGGCATACCAGGGGCAATTAGTTTCACCTAGGCAGTTCTTATAAGGGTTTGTATTAATAATACAAACATTTGTGGACTGTCTAGGCCAATAATATTCACTTTGGCAGGTCTTATAATTGATATATTTCCTAATATATCATTTCAATAATAAATACTATTGTGTAGTTCTTTTATTTAAAAAATGTGAATGAAATAATTTTACATATAAATTGTTCTAAAGGTGCATAAAATAATTTTACATGTAATCCTGCCGCTGCCCCCAAACTGAGTAAATAATTTTACATGTAATCCTGCCCCCAAACTGAGTGGCAGATTTACATATTTTCTTGGATATTAATATTCCGGATGAAGAATCCAAGAAATAAACTTTTAGTACTGAATTTAGAAGTCAGTCGTGGTTGATAGGTCATAATTTTTCAAAATCACAAAAGCAAATATTTATTTATTGAATCAATGTCTTGGGGGTGATTTGGTTAGACAACCTTCAAAGAAAGGAGACTTAGCTGCAACCTTCAACAAATTGGTTAGACAACCAACAATCTACTCCAACAGATCACTCCTTGAAGACCCCTCTAACACCAACACTCATGCTAGATCCAAATCCTGCGATGAGTCTACAAGAAATATCGAACTCTAAAAAAAATGGAAACACGAGAACAAACCGCAACTCATGCTCAAACGGGCTCATTTCTACATAATCACATCCAAGAAGGAACAAATACAGTACCTGCGACCCAAAAGCGAACAAATCATTCCTTCGCAGCGACGGAAACCTCCAAATCAACCAGGCTACCAAAATCCAAGAGCAAGAACGGGCAGAAGCGAGGATCGGCTTAATTCTCCTACGGCCAGGAGAAGAGAAGTCAACGCCATCCATTCTGGGACGCAGGTTGTAGAGATTGAGATCTTCGAATGTTCTGGCCTGGTGTGGGATCGTGTTGATGTTAGGCGTGGGATTTGGGTTACTGTTGATGTTTTATGTGGTTGGCTGTTTCCTTGGGCCGTTTTTAAGATCCGTATAAGGCTACAAATTTTGTGGGTTGGATTTGTCACAAATCTATGATACCCCAAATATGTAAAAATATTCAATTGAACCTAAAATTTAATTATTTAGAAGTTGTTCTGTTCCTCTTATTCTTATTACTTATTGCTTATTCTTATTTTATTCAGATCAAATCAGATCAGAAAGATTCAAATCAGATCAGATCAGAATCATTCAAATCGGATCAGAAACATTCAGATCAGATCAGGGACATTCAGATCAGATCAGAAAAGTCCAAACATGATTTATCACTTTTATGATTATAATAATTTTAATAAGAATGATAATAATTATTATTACTATTATTGTTATTGTTGTTGTTATTATTATTATTATTATTATTATTATTATTATTATTATTATTATTATTATTATTATTATTATTATTATTATTATTATTATTATTATTATTATTTGTATACTTAGTAATTATAATTAGTAGTTATAATTTTAATTATAATTATAATTATAATTATAATTATAATTATAATTATAATTATAATTACAATTATAACAATGATTATATTTTTTAGAGAGATTATAACTATAATTATATAAAACAAATATTATATTTATAATTACAATTATAATTATAGGAATAATTATAATTAAAAAAATGTAATTACAATTATAATTATAGCTATAATTATAATTAGTGTAATAGGTATAATTATTATAATCTGAATTTGAATTACAATTATTATTATAAATATAATAATTTTTTTATAATTATTATTATAATTAAAATCATTTTAAATTTATAATTATAATTATAATTATAATTATAATTATAATTATATTCAGATTGAATATAATAAATATTCAAATCAGGCCAGATTAGAAAGATTCAGATCAGATCAGAAGGATTCAGATCAGAAAGATTCAGATCAGATCAGATCAGAAAACTTCAGACCAGATCAGATCAGAACTTAATAAATTCAGATCAGAAACATTCAGATCAGGTGAAGAGAACAACTTCTTAGAGGCATTTGGCTACACAGTTTTTCGGCTTATTAGCTAATTTTTTCACTAAAGACGTAACTTTTGTTTTCGCGCGCAGAATTGTGTAATAAACAGAAAAAGTAAGGTTGAAGTTACTTTTCTGGCTGTATTGACTGGAGTTACTATAGATGATCATTTTAGCTATTTTTACAAATAATTTTTTCTTTATTTTATTTATATAATATATTTTAAAATTAATTTTATCTTAAATCAACAGAATCCGTCAATACAGCCACTTCACCCAGAACTCCATAAATTTCAGCAGAATCGGCCAAATCAACCGATTTTCGGGCCATCAAACGGGCTCATAATTTAGAAAATACTCACCCACTGTGTATCACACGTGTGTTTTATGCATTTTTCGTTGCCGTGTGTTGGTTCGTTTTTTAAAAAACTTTTTTTAGTCATGGTCATCTTTACACGGCTTTGTCAACAGTAAGCAACCGCTAAACGTAAAAAATCAACACACAAACGATGACATGAGAATGAAATGTGAAACCAAGAATTTTCTGTATAAACAAGTTTTTCATAAAGTCAAGCATAGAATGTAATTTGTTTTCAAATTATATTTGTATAGTGTTACTATATACTTGATTATTGTGTATGTTTGTTTGTTTGTTTGTTTGTTTTCAAATATACTTTATTATTGTGGATGTTTGTTTGTTTTTCTAATTTGAGTGAAACTCCGCACTTTAAATTTCACCAACTGAGCATCGCACTGGAGTTGTACTTATTTTTTTAATTAAGAACTACTATAGATTCTACCTATTGAATGTGTTTCGAAAGTTATTGTGCTTGAATGATAGCATTACTTTTCATATACTTCTCACAAATTCATATTTGAGTATTGTTTAATAATGGCATAACACATTTTCACATATTTGCACACCCCCCTGATTTGCCAATTTACCAGGGCAATTCGTGTAAAAAATGCAATTCATAAAACGCATAGTCACCATATTACTTGAGACATTTATGCTTAGACTTATTTCAGTCTCAGACCAAACTGGACTTAAACAGACCAGACCAGACCATACTTGGATATTAGAAATAGCAGAAGAACCTATTTGAACATTTTCCCACAAATTTAGATTCAAGTATAATTTAAGAATGACATGACACACTTTCACATATTTTACTCCCTTATTTACCTATTTAGAGAGACAATTCATCTAAAAATGCAATTCATGTAAATTTAGTCACCTTATTACTTAGTCATTATAAATAATTTACCTTCAATTAATTTTTATAAACCTCTGAAAATGAAAAAATGGTAAAATCATTTGCGCATCGCAAGGTGAATTACTAGCAAAACATTTTACTAAAAGAGATGATTTTGACATAAGTTAGTGTGAACTAAAATGTGTTGATTCCTAAGCATTCCTATTAACAACTTCAAATGTTAGCAGTCATTGTGGCACATTGGTTTTGTTGTTGAAAATGCCTTTTTTAGTCATATTCAACTTTGTGTGGTTGGGTTAATAAAAGCCAATCAACATTATAGTGTGTGATACATACTATAAAAACTTAATATAGTATATAGTATAACATTTTTAGTCATATTCAATTAAAATTACAAGTTTAGTTTTATTTCAAAATAAATTTAATTAAAACTAACTACACCTGTGGAATTTCACCAATTGTGCATCGCACGAATGTTCAACGTATTTCCGCTAAGGTGGGACTCTTTCAATAGTACATGTATTGTGTAGTTATGTACATTTTTATGAAAGAAATCATCAACCGTGCGATGACGCCATAAAAAAATACCAATTTCTATATTGTCCTTGACGTCATCCGATGTTAGCTTGCCTTTCAAATTTCATAGGCGACAATATCCTGTTATGACTTCATACGCTATGACTATAAATAAAGGTCAAGGTCAATCTTTGTCCACAGATAGTTGTATGTTACAGTATCAAGGGTTACCAATCGTTGTGGTATGAAATTCTAATTGCTGATGAAGATAGAGGAACCACTGACAAGACTCAGAATGTTGTATTCAAAAAAGTGTTCAACAATGTTTAGATTTACATTAAATGCATATTTATAATGTCATGGTTTCAACGTATTTGTTGGATGTTTTTGATCTTTTAAGTAATGCTTAGCACTCTCATTTTGACCATATAATATTATAAGTGTGTTTTGTTTAATGCTTTGATGCATATCAGTATTACATGAAGATAGATGTTGTCATTAATTGATATTGTGATTTGAATTACTAAGCACACATAGATTTGAAAGATAAAATCTCAAACCGTGCATCGCACGGGTGAATTTACTAGTAATGACCAATAAAATTATAAAAGTCTATGGACCCTGGAAGAAGAAGAAAGTAGTAATGATTGCCATTATAAAGCAAGCAATGCAGTAAAAATTTCTCATTATATTTATGACTAAACAGTGTAAATTAAAATTGAAATAAAAGTATAGGTTGCATTAATGGTACATTTTCATCGTGTCTTATAAAAGTAGCTCATAAGAAATGATAAATTGATTTGAGTTGTGTTGATGAACATATCCCAATAAGTTATCATCTTGCACGTAATGATCAACTATGTTTTCTAATTGAGATGATCTCAACCCAATCATATTGCAATTTGAGAGATGGAAGACAAACACCATTATGTTATACAGAGTATTTGGTTGGGAAATTCTTGGATCTTTATGACCTGTTTTTAATGTGATAGTAAAGATGAGAATTGGCCCCAAATGATAGGATGCGTTAATGTTGATTGAAATTTCCAGGTATGATCCGTTATAGTAGATGTGTTTTATGTGTAGTTTACAATTGTCGAAGTCGGATCTGGTCTGGTTTGATCTGTTCTGAGACTAAAATCACTCTAACTAAAAATATTCTACTATTTCAAGTGATAATGACATTCAATCTTTTTTCTCAAAAATCTGCATTCAATCTTTGATTTTATTACTACTCTTAAAATGTTTGACAAAGTGTAAAGATGTTGGGCACTCATTTGAGTTATATTGGAAAGTTCATTATTTCCAATTGTAAATTGATTGCTTATTTTGATATATAGGAGCCCGTTTGGTAATCCTACTTTTGGTCTTATCAGCTAATTTTGAAACTAAACACGTAACAATTTATTTCGCGCTGAGTTGTGTAGTCTAAATAAGTAATTAATGTTGGAGTTACATTATCACAGGATTGACTGAAGTTATTATAGAGAATCATTTTAGCTATTTATATATATATATATATACTTCATTTTATCAATAAAATATACTTTAAATATAATTTTTCATAATTTAACAAAATCAGTAAATTGAACTACTTCATTTTGAACATAAAAAATAACAGTATTACTAAACGGATCATAGTTTAAATATTTGTGACATTTTAAAATAAATCATATGGGCAATTAGATAAGGGGTTTTTCCTTAAAAATAACTAATATAAAATTCATGGACAAAAATATTACTTAGTAACTATTAGTGAATATAATTATGTTCAAAGCTTACATTGAACACAATTACTAGTAACTTAGTAACTTACATGTAATTACTACGATGTAACTTTGAACACAATTATAGTCACTAATAGTTACTAAGTGAAAATATAACTTAGTAACTTACATGTAATTACTACGATGTAACTTTGAACACAATTATAGTCACTAATAGTTACTAAGTAAAATTTTGTCTACCACATTTTAAAGAGTAATATTAATGTGTTTTTTCATTAGTAAAATATTATCTAGTATTAAGTTATTAACCATCCAAAGGAGTCTTGTATACTATGAATTATGTATGAATTACGAATTAAATTAAATATTATAAGACGTTGCTATGTGGAATAGTACAGTCTCAAAACCAATTCCATTAAAATAGCGTAATGAATGGGTACGGATGTGTCCATC